TATCTTCTGAAGAACAAATGCCTTTCATTTTGAAGAAGTCCAATTTGTTGATTTTTCTCTGATAGCTTTTGTTTTTTCAATATTGTACTTAAGAAATCTTTGACAAAAACCAAAATTTTTTCCTATTTTTCAGACAATATTATAGTATTATCTCTTATCCATAATCTAAGGAGTCAATGCTTGGATAAAAATATGAAGCAAAAATGAGAACCACTATTCTGTAATTGACTATCCTGTCTTTCTGCCATTCTGTTAAAAGTTCTCCTTTCCCTACCTAATTGTTTTGTCCCATAGTAAAAATAAATTGCAGAGTATTCTAACTTTTTAAGCAGCTATTCTCTAGTGTTAGTTTGGCTCCAATGTGGAAGTAGTAGACTTATGAGCCTTCTGCCTTGCCACCTTGTATTTTGCAAGATTATCCTACTATTTCCAATCTTTGAGAAGATAGGGGGGAGTTTCCTAGTTTGCGTCTTTCAGGTAATCTTTGGTCTACTTTGGTCTACTGCAGTTTCTTCACATGCAAGTTAGTAAGCCGTACGAGACATAAGAGGAACTCTTTGAATATCTCTAAAACAAACAACACACTTTCTCTCATGCTCTATCTTGCTCTCCCCACGCCAGTGTTCTGTCCTGCAACATCTACCACCTTGGAATCCCTCAATTCTCATTCTTCTCCTTCATTTAGAGAAACTGATGGGTTTTGTCTAGGTTCCCTCTCCTGAAGTGCAGCCTGCACATTCTCTCTGGGCAGTTATTGGAAGGGAAATTGCAGGACTAACTACATTTTGTTTTAATTTTCTCAGAATTATCATTGGGTGTTCAATGTTCAAAACCATTGTTTTCTACATTTATTCTCTAATTGTTTAATGTGGAAGAGTAAATCTACTCATTATTACTCCGTCTTGGATGACAAAAAAATTACTATTAATATTTTTCAATCTTTAATCCACCAGTCTGCTGACTTGTCAAGTCTTCCTTGCTCTTCTCTCTCTTTCTCTCTCTCTGTCTCTCTCTCACACACACACACACACCACAAACCATCTGTAATACCTATATTTGTCAAAGATTATTTTTTATATTAAAAAATGGGTCATCCAGTCATTGGTAATTGCAAAGGCTAAAATCAGGAAGGAGAGAAATCCTCTCTTACTTGGATGGAGCTATTTTTTGTTGTGTTTTCTAGATTCATTCATTCACAGATGACAACTTGGATTTAATTTTCCTGGTTGGCATTTTGGGCTGCTTTATTTCCTACCTAAATAACTTTGGGCAACACAATTAACCTTAAACCTTAATTTCCTTATCTGTAAAAAGAGGACCTGGAGGTAGTTTTGAAATGCGGATGAGGTCCTTTGTACAAAGGGCTGGAACACAGAAATGTTGCTAGATTAGATGCTTCCCAATGTCCTCCCATCCAGCTGTCACTGGCACATGCTTTGGCGGATCATTTCCTCTTTTTTAAACTTGTTTTCTTCATTATGTGTCAAGTGCAACACTCTCAGTTCTCCTCCAACTTCACTGCTTTCTCAGACTTTATATCTTGTAAACTTCTATATGCATTCTTTGTTATTTATGCTTACTTTATAGGACATCTCATCTTGGCTTTTGACCTTAACTACCGTTTCTAAGTTAATTTTTCACCCATCATAGTCATAGTTACTTGAACATTGGGCCTATGTATTTCCATAATGATCTTTTCATGCCCTTCCTCTGCTTTTCTCCATATTAATGACACTGAGGACTGATGGTACAGGATGCATTAGACTCCTGTGTCTTTCAGCTGCATTTGGCCCAAGGAGGAAACAAATGGAAAATTGGAAAGCAGAGGCAGGAAATGCCACAGTGCTTCTAGCTCTTCCCTTTATGGTCAGTCTCTGCTGGAGGCTGGCTGCTGTTCTGCATTACAAACCATAGATCGTTCCCTGACAACAGTTCCTCTCTTTCTGATTTTGCTAATCTCTGTGGAACCTGCTTATATCTTGTTTGGCTTTCCAGCAATTCCATTATCTATGTAGCCATCTTCATGGTATAGAATCCCTAGAGTAACTTCTGTTTCCTGGTCGAGTTTTAACTAATAGAGTTACCTAACAGGAATTTAAGAATAAACATATAGAGAACAAACTCCTAATTTTCTTACTAAGCTGCTCCTCATGGTACTTCTTCATTTTTGAATTTTTGGCAACACCATTTTACTATGTTAGGACCCACTTAGCCAGAGAACTGCCACGACAGGCTGTGGGGCCTCTGAGTGACTTAGGCCTCTTCCAGGAACAAGAAAAGCAGAAAAATCAGATGCTTTTGTCAAAGACTACACCCCGGAATGAGATTAGGTCTTCAGAATTTAACTGTCAGATAATGGGCCGGATGTTGTGAGCCAAAACAACAACAACAACAACAACAACAACAACAACAACAACAACAATATGTGTACTCTATAGGTACTAGAAATTTGCTGAGTAATGCTTACTTGCCAAAATGAAAGTATGAGAACTTGCTAAACCTAATGGTCGGGGTCCTTGTTGAAACCCGCTGTGCTGGGCGAACACTTGGACCCCAACAATAAACCTCACTGTGTGATTTGCATTCTCAGCTCTGTTCTCTGTCCTTGAGGGGTGGTCACTCTGGACCCTAACAACTAAACTACTAGCACTGTTCTTGACACATTGTTTTCTCTCATACTGTTATCTACCCTGACAGCAAATCCTGTTGTTCAGCTTTAATGAACATACCTAGAGTTGATTACTTTTCCTCCCCCTTCACTTCCTTCATCACTCATGTCCAAGCCATTCATATCCCCACGTGAATGATTATCATAGCTTTCTAACTTGTTTCTCTACCTCCACTGTGGATCCCAGCAGTCAAATGGGTATAAATTGTAAGTCCAGTTATTCATTATTTTTCTATTGAGAACCTCCAACTGGCTTTATTAAAAGAAAAAGCAGTGTCTTAATAAATGGTTCCCAAATACCTCTAGTACTTCTACTTCCTTCCACCAACCACCATTTGTTACAACACACTGACTTCATTATGCAGGCTAGAACCCACTAGCAATAGTCCTGTCTCAGGATCTTAGCCCCTCCTGCTCTCTCATATCTGAAGTTTTTTCTTATAGCCATTTGGCTTTCAGTCATCTTTATGTGCTCTGATATCACGTCCTGTGTATCTGATATTATGTCCTTTTCTGATTACACATAGCATAGCATCATCTATTATCCCTATACTCTTTTGCTCATTTAAAAAATTTTTTAATAGAGAGAATATTACAAGACTTTATAGGGTTTGGTATGAATTTTTATTGTTTTTTGTTTTGGGGGCGATCACACTTAGCGGTGCTCAGGACTTATTCCTTGCCCTACACTCAGAATCCAAACACTTAGTACTCTGGGCTGAGAGAAAGCAAGGCTTTTAACACTTAGTTCTCTGAGCTCTGAGAGCAAGCAAGTCTCTTCTGTAAATCCCAGACTAAGTCCTCAGACCAGTTCAGCTTGTCCTTCCCCATGGGAGTCCTGTTTCTTAAATCATAACAGCTTCCATCGAAACCACACATTTTTTTGCTTTCTAGACTGTCCCATTTCAATGCCGGGGTGGCTTTGCCACTCACCCTGGGTCTCCATTCTAGTCCCACAACGGACCTCCCTTATGGGGTACTAGGAACTACAGCAACTGAAGTCTGAGTCAAGTAATATGACCAAGTAATTATGCCCAGGAGTAGATATATTTCAGAATCAATCAACTCCCAAATATTAGGAGCATAGCATTAATGATCTTTCTGTGTTTAACCAAAGAATATTGCTTTATAGTAAAATATAAAAAAACTATGGGGGAAATAGAAAAGCAGGCACCAATACACAACACTTCAAATACACAGCACTACAAATACAAAGTCCAGAATTAGCATAAAGTTTTGGTTTAGAAGCAATCAAGATTGACTTGGGGAACTGTGACAATCAGCAGTAAAATACAAAGGAAAGGTTAAAGATAAATTTGACCTAGATTAGGGATGCTAGCAAGAGCACAGTAAGCTTCTCTGGGAGGAGGAAAGGGGGCAATTCATTGATGAAGCCTAAAACACTTAGGGTTAATATCCAACACATATGGAATGCTGGGGATTGAACTTGGATCCCAAGTGAAGCAAGTGCCCTACCCACTATACTAAAGCTCCTGCTCAAGACTGTGCATTTTACAGTTTTTCAAGCCATATATTACCACACCACACTTTTCCCCAAGGACTATAATCCTGCACCACAACCTGTATGGTCCCTTCCACCCTTTCAACACACTCAATCACCCTCACTTTGGTATCCTTAGTTCTATAGCCAGAGGTTAAACTGTTTAACTTTACTTCCTTGTATTGTACCTTTGTACAGCGCATGAGTGGGATTACCTTATATTTGTCTTTTTCCTATTTTACTTTGCTTGGCACATGCTCTCTAGTTTCTTCCAGGTTGCACCAAAAGGCAAGATTTCGTCTTTTCTTGTAGCTAAGCAGTTATCTCTTGTGCACAAACACCATGTTCTGTTGTTATTAATAACAATGCTACGCATTTATTATCGTGTTGTGTCATGTTGTGTCTCTTCCCACTACAATGCAAGCAGACTTCATTTAGCTGACTGCTAAACCTTTAGGGTCTCAATACTTCTTGGCATTTAGTAATAAATATAAAACGCACGGCAAGATTGCTTTGCACCGGGCACAATGCCTAGCGCGTTGTAAGAAGCATATCATTTATTTACACTTATGGAGCCCACGGGTTCTAAGCCAGGTCCTACCTCTGCAAAGGGTTGCAGGGAGCACGTAAGAGACAAGGAAGGTGGTGATTCCCCAAGTGGAGCTGGGGAGCTCATCCCCACCCGGCAGGTATCGGCGGTCGCAGACCCCGCTAGGGCCCGCCCACTGCGCATGCTCCGCTCGACGGGCGAGTCTCCCACGTCCAGACCGCCTACAGCTCCGACTGGCTGCGCGCAGAGCGAGTGGCGCCCTGGCCACACCCTCCTGTCCGGCCACCCCCGCCTTGTCCTTGTCATCTGCGCGACTAGGCCGGAGAGAAGCGGGCACTTCGGTTCTGGACAGCATCTTGGGGAGGACGACTCCAGGTGAGTGCTGGCTCTGTCCTCGCCAGATGCGGGTACTGCAACTCGGTCCCCCACGCGTTCAAGGGGCAGGGCTGTGAGCCTGTCGCTGGTGCTCAGCAGCGCTTCCCTTTAGCATCTGCAGGCCTGTGCATTAGTCCCCGCCGCCCTCGCCTTTGCCCCAAGCACCTACAGGTGCCTCTTCTGCAAGATGCCCGAGACATCTCTCGGTGGACCCAGGGTGTGTGTGTGTGTGTGTGTGTGTGTGTGTGTGTGTGTGTGTGTGTGTGTGTGTTGCTGGTTGGGGAGCGGGGGTGTTCTTAGTGTGTGGATCCTTTTCCAGGTGAGTCTTTTAACCTCAGACCTTTCCAGAAAGCCTGATTCCTAGATCTGGTCCCTCCAGTCTGTTACTTCCCTTAGCTCCTGGGTCCAGGCAACTTGCCCGACACATGGGATTTGTTAGCCGGAAGGCATTGTGAAGAGTCAGCTTTGGCACGGGTCCTGGTGAAAGAGCCCTGAGGTATTATTATCATTTTGCTTTCAAGACTGTAATCTAGTTGAACCTCAGTTTCCTAAAGAAAAAAACAAGTATTTAAGAGATTGCAGAGTTGGTGGAAGAGTAATAAGACAGATCAGAAGCAATAGGAGCATAGGTTATTATTTTATGATAATTTTAAAAGTAAAAATATTCGAAATGTAAAATAACCAACAACTGGGTTTAGGACTTTTCTTCAAACAGTGAACGTCAGGCTTATTGTATGCTAATAAGTAGGCATTAATTATGTTCATGAGAGATATTGTATATTAAATATATTCAAAATATGTATTGACCATCTTATATGTGCATATCACCCTGCTAAGGTCCTGGAAGTTCCAAGTTGAATCAGGTACTCGCTTTGCCCTCAGAATGGCTAAAATGAGGGTCGGCAGGCATTTAATTGGGATGCTGAAATGTAGAAAGAAATGAGTTGCAGAGAATTCAGACAAGCATGTGTGTATTGGAACTTGAGGCACCGGGTGATGCTCAAATGATGGAATCCCCAAGCCTCGCATGTGGGAAGCCTTGGGTTCAATTGCCAGAGCTTCACACCTCCCTCCCACTATCTGTGGGCATCACCTCAGATGCACAAGAATTTATCAAAAAAAAAAGAGAGAGTCATTTGCTTAAAAGGGTGAGGAAGTTTCTTAGTGTTGTGCTGGGTGGAACATATTCAGTCGAATGTCTTCAGCTCTTAACTTTATGGAGCTTCCCCTGTGGGCAGCTGGCTCTAGGAGAGGGACCGAATGAAAACTCGTTATCAGTAATTTCAGTTATGACCGTACTCTTATTTTCCCTGCTCAGATCTCTCCTCATTCCCTAGTGATACTGGATATCTTGGAGGTTGTTTTTATGATAATATGAAGACAGGATCTCTATTGCACCATAAATGTTAATTTTAATGGAAACAGTGGACTTACTTTGCCAGTGCACATTCAAGGTAATAGTGCCTCTTGTCTAGGTGTTCTAGGTTCACTGCTAAGAGAAGTAACTCCAGCACTAGCAGGAATTGCATCAACAGTAAATTTGTTTATGATATCCTGAGAACAAAACCAGTTTCTTCAGACTTGTGGAACACTCAGTTTAAGCACATATCACTTGAAAACAGCTGTTTTGGATGGGGATGAGACTCAAGTGGTAGGCCATGTGCAATTCACATGGGAGGCCCTTGCACAATCCCCAGAAGTCCATTATCCCCAGCCCTGCTGGAGTGGCCCTTCTCAAAATAAGATTTGTATTTTCTTTTGGTCATACAATAACATAATAGCATGGCATATGTAAAACTTCATACATTTTAATATGAATATAACTGTGAAATCATGAATATAGTCAATTTTTTAACCTACCCATCACCCCAAGGGTTTGCCAAACACCTTCCATTTACTTCCTGTCCTCTTCCTGGGAAGGCACTTATTTGCTTTTAAACTATAGATTAGTTTTCTTTTCTTTTTAGACTTTTAAGTAAATGAAATCAGATGGTGCTTATTTTTCAGATGGTGAAATCATACGGCGCTTACTTCTTCCCCTTGGTTTTATTATTTGGAGATTATGTTGTGTTATTGTGTATTTCTTCCTTTACATTGCTGAGCGCTTCGCAACAACCGTAGTATGTTGATCTACTTACCCATTTAGGACATTTTTCAGTTTTTGAGTCCTGTCTGTCTGTCTGTACTGTCCACTGTCCTCCCGTTGTTCATCAATTTGCTCAAGTGGGCCCAGTAATGTCTCCATTTTGAGTCTTGTTGTTACTGTGTTTGGCATATCAAATACATCACAGGGAGCTTGCCAGGCTTTGCCCTGTGGGCAAGCTACTCTGGGTAGCTTGCCGGGCTCTTCCAGAGGGGCGGAGGAATTAAACCCGGTTTCACCGGGCTGGATGCACATAAGGCCCTATGCTGTGCTATCGCTCCAGCCTCCAAATCCTCCAAATCCTTTTCATGTCCTTATTCCCTCACTTCCATAAGGACAGCATCTTGGGGAGGACGACTCCAGGTGAGTGCTGGCTCTCCATAAGGGAAGTGAGGGAATAAGGACATGACAAGGACTTGGAGAATTCACTGCTGGTAAGAATTTTGTCTCTTTCAACCTGGTGGAATCAGTCTGGAGAGTTCTCAGTAAATTTAAAGTTGAGCTGCTTTGGGGTATGTAACTCCCATGAGAGAAAAATATTCATTCAAAAGGTTGTAAGCACACCACTATTCATGGAAAGACTAAGTAAAATAGCTAAGATATGTAATCAACCTAGATATTCAACAGCAGTTCAGTGGATCATGAAGATGTATATATAAATGGGAGCGATAGCACAGCGGGTAGGGCGTTCGCCTTACAAGCGGCCAACATGGCCGACCCGAGTTCGATTCCTCCGCCCCTCTCGGAGAGCCCGGCAAGCTACCGAGAGTATTTGATATGCCAGACACAGTAACAACAAAGTCTCCAATGGAGACGTTACTGGGCCTGCTCGAGCAAATCGACGATCAACGGGAGGGCCTTTACCTTTACCTTTACCTTTACCTATGCTACTCAGCTATAAGAAATGATGAAGTCATGCAATTTGCTACAGCATGAAAGAGAACTGGACAATATCAGTCTTTGAGTATTTGATATAAAACAGTTATAGACATTTTTGAACAAGTCTTTGCACGTGTGTACACTTTGAATTAACTTTTGTATTTGTGCGAGATATGGACTTGGCTTTGATTTTCACGCGTGCATCTCCTTAAGTGATCACATGCACCTAAAAATCGGTAGGAGTCTGTGCTGTTGTTCCAGCTCTGCCGGTCACCATCCTGAGTGTCCTTGGAAGACTTACTTCACTTTGGCTTTAAGGTTTTTGCTATGCTGTGTGTTTTGTGTTCCACTGCTAGAAACTAGATGCTCTTTGCTGGAGGATCGATCTTGGGAGGAGAGGAAGTGGTGATGTTTTTCTTTCGGTTTCTCCTGCAGCCTTTCATTTCACATGTCCCCTCAGATGATAGATCTACCTCCTGTCGTATTATTTGGGATAAGAAGAGGCGTGAATAAGTAGTAGAGGCAAGAACTATCGTTTATTGAATGTAAAGATGTTTCAGTCACAGTTTGAAGAGAGAAAATGCGTGTGTAGGGAGTGGGTCTCAGGGTCCAGAACTATGTGGGTCTTTTTTTTCTTACTCCCATTTTATTCTAAGTTCCCCGAATGTCATTTCTCCATAATGGTTTGTAGACAGGAGGCAAGTGGGGTGTGCTTGCCTGGGATTGGAGCAAAATGAGGGTTCCAATAGAAAATAATTCTTTTATTTCTTGTGTTTTTTTAAACTGTTTTAGTTTTTGTTTCCGCAAATGGCAGGGATCATTTTTTGTTTCACATTTTTTACTTGTATTTTATTTGTATTAAAGCTGTTTCCTAGAGTTTAATGGGAACATTACTCGACCAGCAAATGTAATGATTATAAAATTTGCTTAAGTCGCAATAAGCTGTTTTATGCAGGATGAAAATGCAGCTCTTGAGGTTGATAGTCTCTTTGGCCCTTGGGATCCTGCATGCTGAGGTGTCTGGAAACGAGCTGACGCCTGTGGATCCTGAAACACATATGAATGTGGTGAGTTTTTCAAAGTCAATTGATTTTTAAAATACATCTGTGATGGACGTTTATTATTTTCTTAATTCTCACACATGACTCTATATAAAGTCACAAACACTAATTTCTGTATAATTCATTCTTTGTCTTATCATATCTTCTGAATATTAGATTCAGTTTGCTAGATTTTCCTCATCTGGTAATACAAATTTTACCGACTCATTTTACTCTTAAAGTTGATTCTTAATTAGGTAAGTGATAACATAAGATAAATTTTTTTCATTAAGTCTAACTGAATTGTCTACAGCTTAGTAAACTGTTGCTACTTTGCAGGAACATTATTACTGAGTTCAGTTTTGACAAATTGTGGAGCAGTACCCAGGGAGTAGCAGCAATTCATACAAAAATAAAAGTATCTGAGAACCTTTCTGTTAGAGTAAATTAGCAAAAATAATCCTATAACTAAAAAATTTCAAAGTTATATTAAGTAAATAATAAAATATGGAAATACCTCATTAAAACATAAATTATTGGGAAAATGAATGTTATGAAAGAAACAACTTTAAAATAGACATTTTAGTGACCCAAGTGCAACTCGACAATCTTAGAGAGAAATTAATAGTAATCTCAGGGAATATGGTCTCATGTCAAGATCTTTCTTAAACAGATTTTTTCTTTTATCTCTCTTCTTTAAATTTTTGCCTATAAAAATGAGAAAACTAAATACTTTTAGGCATTTATGGTAGTGATATGATAATGATATATGATAGTGATGTTTTATTGTGGTAAGGTAAAGGTAAAGGCCCTCCCGTTGATCGTCGATTTGCTCGAGCAGGCCCAGTAACGTCTCCATTGGAGACTTTGTTGTTACTGTGTCTGGCATATCGAATACTCTCGGTAGTTTGCCGGGCTCTCCGAGAGGGGCGGAGGAATCGAACTCGGGTCGGCCATGTTGGCCGCTTGTAAGGCGAACGCCCTACCCGCTAGAATTGATTATTCATATCCCACTGAGTTCAATTGTGCCATAGATCTTTCTTATGGAGAAATGCATTTATCCCAGTTCATTTCATCTTTTCTCATGCTTCAACACCATATTAATGTTATAGTGTAACATTAGAACTGATGAAATGGATCCATACTTCTGCTTTGCCCCTCACCCAACACCCCCACCACTCTCAGGCTCTCTTAAAATAAGAAAAGTGATAGGTTATCACATTAGTTGGTATATTTAGAAAATAGAAGTGTTTATTTGATCCTGGAGTCTGGATAGAAATAAAGAGCCAATGATGGTAAAATTAGATGCACTTAGTATAGAACTAGCTAAAATAATGAAACTAAGATTTAACCAAATATCTGTGAATATAATGCATAAACAATGAAGGATTTTTTGGAATGGAATGTTGACTGTTGAATTAAGTGACTAAATTCTAATCGCTTTTTGATTTCTTAAATTAAGCCTTTCCTGCATTTAATTTGTCCTCTCTTTTGCCTGCTACTGTGAAAAATCTTTTAAGCTTCTGTCCCCAGAATTTCCATTGTTCTCTTTCTTCATAGACTGAAATTATCTCTCACTGGGGCTTCCCTGCCGAGGAATACTTCATTGAGACAGAAGATGGCTATATTCTTTGCCTTCACCGAATTCCTCATGGCAGGAAGAACTATGCTGACAATGGTATGTGTGTTTTCGTGGGAAGTTAGGAAAGCTCTGAAAAATTATTGCACAGGTGGGATTTGGCAAGTTTTGTAATAGTAACTAACTTCAGATTTTACTTTAAAACATTGAAATGGTTATATTTTCAGACCAAAGAACTTTCGCCCTTTTAAGGGCTATGATTATGCAGGCATATAAGAATGCTTCTTTTAAAGAAGCAAGAATAAGAATCTTTAATTTCAAATTGTGCTTAAATATTAAAAGATTAGATGTGTTTGAGGACATGCTAAGAATCTTTGCTTCCTTAATTATAAGGAATTTGGTTATTTAATAAATATTTTATGTATTAAGTAGATAACATTTACTATTTGAAATTTAGTTTGATTTTTGAATTGGCTATGTAGTCATATAATTTAAAAATCAAGGAGAATATTTGTGAAATACCTCATTTTTAATTTTTGCTCTGTCTACAAAGTCTCTTTTAATAATTTCTTGCTGAAACTGTCTTTAGGAACAAATAAAAACACATTATATTTTTCTATTTTCCTTTTAATAAAATATGATGCATATTCTTTATTCCATAAATTTTTACTTAATATTTTGTAGATCTTTCCATGAGATGCACAAAACACTTTATAATTCATTCATTCAATACTTTTTATAGATACCTGGTGTGCCCCAGTATAGTTATCATGTATTTTGATATCGTGATATATTTAAAAAGTGCCCTACTAATGAGCATTTGGCCATTTTCATTCTTCTGCTAACCAGTATAACTGCTAGAAATAATTTTGTGTGCAACTTTATTAATAAGATACATAGAGAGTTTGGAATTAGAGGATTGTGCATTTGTGATTTTGAGAGATATTTTTAAATTGTTTTTCGCGTGGAGATTGTTTTTGCTTAATTGGGTAATAACTAACATGAATTATTGTTGAAAGATTCAGTGAACCTCAGTAAAATCAAGCTTGGAAACTATGTCTGTAATCCATTTTCTGTGCGCTCCTTAGACTTTCTCTTTCCATAGTGCAATGAAAGCAGATAAGTGATATCTAAGTGACGGTGCTGTGTCATGGAATAGAAGCAAAGTGAATTGATTCTTCCTGTGCTTTTAAGTGTAGAGAGAAGAGTTAGGGACTGCGGCTTCAGCTGACTCTCAGGACTTGTGTGCTTTCACCCCCATACGCCTAAGTCTTCATCTGTAAAAATAATTGTTTAGTTAGATTGAACTCAAAGTTCCCCCTTTTTATATTATCACTTCCTCATATTAGGGTTCATGCTCTTTCACTTTTTTTTCTTTGCGGGAGCTGAGGGAGGAGGCATGTTTGTGTGGGGCAGTGGGTGCCCTTGAACTTTAGAATGCAGCACTAGGCTGAAAAGTATACTTGACTAGATCTAGTTGTAACGTGAGGTCCCTACCTTCTTCTGCTCTTTACAGACAGACCTTCCTATGGGGCATCAGTGATGTGTGATTGATTAACATAGCTCAGAGGGTTGTTTTAAAGGAAATCTATGATAAGTAGCTCAGTTTTCTAAGGTGCCTTTTCTCAGCAAGGGATCATATAAGGCCCCTGTGAGCCCCTAGGACCTTTGGTGAAAATTGCATAAATGGGTGGCCATAAATCATGGGATTAGGGTGCTAACCAGTAGGACAGAGGGGGGCACAAGAATAAACCAGGGCTGCATGGTCAGAAAAGGCTTAGAAACACAAACAAAAAATCTAAAGGAATTTGTAATTTTCCTAACTATTGCTCAGGTGCTTCTCTGCTGGTTTGCAGTTCTGTAGTCCCAGGCAAACCCTGAATGAAGACCCTTCACTGTCCTTCACTCCTTGAGCAGTGTTAGCAGAAGAGTTAGTTCAGTTCATTTGAGCCAAACAAGTTATTTTTTAAAAAAGAAGATATAATAGTTTCCTTCAAATGGATTGATTATGCCATTTCACTTCTGACTTCCTCCTCTGTTAATAACACCATTGCCCTAATGACCTCCTGGAAACTGCAGAATCATTGGGACTTCTTTAGGTAGCTGCCAAATTCTCTCTGGCTCTACAATTATGTAGTTTCAGTTCCTCATTTTCTTCATTTTTCACCAAACCACCACCTGACCTTATTTTCTTGTTACTATCTAAATAGATCCCTGAAATCTGCTCAGAAACTAAGAATTGAGCCACTTAAAAATTTTTTTTGCTATTGAAGTTACATTAACTTGTAGCATCATAAAGATTTTAGGTCATTTTAGGTTTAGAGGCTTCCTATATATTTAAAAAAAGAGAACTCAGGGGCTGGAGCAATAGCACAGCGGGTAGGGCATCTGCCTTGCAGCCGACCCGGGTTCGATTCCCTGCATCCCATATGGTCCCCTGAGCACCGCCAGGGATAATTCCTGAGTGCAGAGCCAGGAGTAACCCCTGTTCATCACCAGGTGTTGTGACCCAAAAAGCAAAAAAAAAAAAAAAAAGAGAACTCAAAATAGGAATATAGAAATTCATTTTAAATCCTTATATATAATATATATAATTCATATAATAATATGTAATTTTAAACCCTTTTAAATATTTAATCATTTAAATCATTATATATGCATATAACTATATATGCATATATAATAAGCATATATTAATCACTGTCATTGTCCTCCCATTGTTCATCGATTTGCTCGAGCAGGCACCAGTAATGTCTCCATTGTGAGACTTGTTGTTACTGGGTTTTTTTTTTTTGGTATATTGAATACATCACAGGTAGCTTGCCAGGCTTTGCCGTGAGGGCGAGATACTCTTGATAGCTTGCTGGGCTCTTTGAGAGGGGCAGAGGAATCGAACCTGGGTTGGCTGCGTGCAAGGCAAACACCCTACCCGCTGCGCTGTCTCTCCAGCCCAAGCATATATTAATATAATATAGTATATAATATTCTTTATTATGTATGTTTATATAATCCTATCCTTTTGTCCACTTTAACTTTCAGCTCTCCGATCATTTGAGCAGAAAAAAAGACAAGCTTTTTCTCTACTCCCAAATGCTTTGCTAAGATCCCTCACAAAGGGATTGTCTTACTCTGTTGTAAGTCTACCCGTTGTACTCATGTGTCTTGTAGTCGCCTTCCTCATCCTTCTCTGTAGCCACTCTTTGAAGTCAGAGTTTGTTTCTTATTTTCTGTGTATCTCTCGTAGCAACTAGCAATACTCTGTGGTCTGCAGCGCTGACCTGAGTTAAAATTCCACTGGGTATAGTACTCAGAATTGGAGTTTTTAACAAAATGAAGTGTAATGGAAACCTCTCTAATGGGATGAAACAAATTTATATCTCTGTGCACGCAGATATGACAGAGTTATAGCTATGTAGTTCCCACAAAAATTTCCCCTCACTTAAGACAAACAAAAGGTTAAGTTGCTTCTAATTAAGTTGTTTGGAACATAGTGAAAACTCATAGAGTATATATGTGCCAGTTCCCAGCTAAACGAACTTCTCTATCCAGTGTTGACCTCCTCCCACTTTGCATGAACTCCATAAAGGAATTGAAATTCAAAACTCAGTCATTTGTAGGGAAATGATTCTATTTTCATCTATTCAGTCTTATTTCTGAAAGTCATGGGATATTAGCTTTAGAAGGATCTGAAAGTATTTCCTGTTTCAGAGATTTAGAGAGCTTGCATTTGTGGGTTGGGAGTGGAAAGGTGGGTATTCTCCTGAGCAATGCTCAGAAGGTCCTGGAGGCCAGTTGGTGATCCTTGGCCATGACAGTCCAAAGCAAGGGCCCAGGTATGCAATGCTTAGAGCTTGCATTTAATTAAATTATTGAATTTTTTGGTTTCATTTTGGAGCCACGCTGTTGGTGCTTAAGGCTTACTCCTGGCTCTGTGCTCAGGGATCATTCCCGGTAATAGGGGTTGAACCCAGGTCAGCTGTGTGCAAGGCAAATGCCCTATCCTCTGTACTACTGCTCTGGTTTTGGGAGTTCGCATTTTAAACACACTCCCCAGTGGATACTAAAGTAACTTCATTGGGTTTGAGAATCCATGTTATAGATCAATACCATAAGTTTTACTGGATGAGACAGCAAGTTCAAAGAAGGATAAAGGTCTGCTTAAGGTTAAAAGATAGTGGCCTAGCCAGTGTGATTATGAATTCACTGTTCTTTGAATTCAGAGAACATGTCCTTACATAATATGTATTGAGCAAGTTAACCCCACGATTGTCAGATTATTTATTTTATTTGGCTGAAACAGGGAACACATAAAAGACATGCCCAAAATATGTACAACAGCAACAATAACAAGGCAGATTTTCATCTTTCCTCAATAGGAAATCAATTTTTTAAGTATAAAGAGTAGAACATTTATATCTGAAATATTTTGTTTCTGATTGCCTGGCCAATGTGAATAATAACCTTCAATTTCTGGAATGTGAACACTAACCTTTAGTCTGCACTTTTGGTTTTTGAGCTGTGATCCTGGCAGAGACTTGTGGGGATTGTTTTCTTTAGAAAATTCCAAAATTTCCTCCGGAATTTTCACAATGGAAAATTCACAATCAGATTGAACTAGGTCTTTGGAGAGAAAAGCCTTTGGCCTGCACTTTTCTCTGGTTGTTTGTTTTAGGGGTCTGACCCATTTCTCAACTTTCTGGTCCCTTATCTGTGATTTTTAAAGGAATAAGAAATAAGCACCACATTTTAAAAATTGCTGTGCTATAACCTGCTGTGCAGAAGCTCTTGATTTATTAGGATGAATTCCTCACATCTCAGCAGCACTCAACAGATGTGGGGTCATTAATGCAACAGTGTGGCTGGGCCTCTCGACCTCACTGACATTAAACCAAGCTTGCTTAGTGCTCTGATGGCAAGGTGGGAAGGAGGGCTGGAGTGTTCAAGCAAGAGACATCAGTGCCAGCTGCAGAGTTGGTCTTTTATATGCAGGCTGGGACTTATGCAAAATCAGAATAGGAAGGATGGAAGAGTACTCCCTAAATCTCCTCTCCTCTGTCATCCACCTCACTGTTGTTTGGCCCACCTCCACACCATGCAGG